CTGGTGGGAGGGAGGAGCTGGCAGAGTTGGAGATCATGGCAATGGCAGTATGTGAGGCTGCGGCAGCAGGATAAATCAAAGGGAGACCTTAAGAGGGAGGAAGGTTTGGTGAGGTTGTGTCCATATTCATCAGTTAGATCTTCCTGATCAGTTAGTTCTTCCAGGAAAAGACACTTACTGGGGACAGCTTGTAATTGATGCTTTTCTGTCCTCAGATTTGACAGAGCTGACACAATCATGAAAACGAGCTTGAAACAAAAGAGAAGCATGGCAGCCCCCTGCTCCATTTGTTGTACTAGAGCTAAACACTTGCAAGAAATATATGCAAAAGCTGCAATACGTCCTGTCATATAAAACTGCTGTTGGACTAACTTCACAGTAATTGTAAAATGATTAATTGCACTTACCTTTGAGAATTTTCTATACCTTACTCTAGTTAAATAATGATTCCTCATGACCCTTGGAGAATGGTTATCCTTTTTGAATTTGGCCAAGACTGCGGGTACAAAAAATTATCTTGAGACCCTGAAGTGCCCAGCTGCTCTGATTTTAGTGGCTGTTTGCACGATGTTGGAGCTGGCATGCCTGTTTCTGGTGGCAAACTGTGACAATGCATGGAGGTGAGTGGCACTGTCTGTGCTGTAGTCTTGCTATTTTGCAAGTGATTAGGCCTAGAGGAATATCTCTGTGCTAGTCGAGAAATGAGCCTCTCAGGTTTTCATAGATGTGCATGGCATTAATTCCTTTCCCTTAATCCCTTGCTTACAAAGTTAATTTCACTACTTTAATAGTTTCTGATCTCTTAAACCATGTCAAAATACAAATAAGAACGTGCTTTCAACAGCAGAAGAGCAACTCAGTCCACTCTGTCACTGAAAGGGAAAGGTGTATGTGAAAATGGTGTATGTGGAAAGGTGTATGTGGTGAAATGAGATTAGAAGGTTTACAGTATTTCCTGAAGTTCTGGTACGTGAATTGTGTTGGAGGTCTCAGCAATGTTTGGGACAAACCTTAATTTGTGCAAACTGCTTTGCTAAACCCCAGTCTAGACACTCACATTTCCAGTGCCTATCATCTTTATTTCTGCTTTCATCTAGCAATTTTTTTTGGCCTATCACAGAGCATCAGTCAGAAGGAACTGGGCTCTTCTGCTCCCGTAAGTCCCACTTGTTGTTCCAGCCTCAAGCATGGGGATACAGGGTGTGTAGCTACACAGAGAGCTTACAGGTATGAACTGTCCTGTTGTGGTAAAAGTCTTAATTCTGCACTCAGCTGTACATACTGTGCCTTTAATATACCCAAAGCTCATATTTGCTTATATTGCCTTCTTCCTGAAGTGAGAGCTGTTAATGTGAAGGGAGAGGAAACTGAGAGTGGATGTCAGTCTGCCCTCCTCAGAGGGTTTGGCAGGGGACTGACTACTATTTCATAGAGAACCTGTGCTGCTACTGTCAAGTGTGTTTTCAATTAACAGTGAAAAATGTCCTGTAGTCAAACATCTATATTCTAGGAAAAGAATCTGATAAAGCGAGTCAGTCCTTAAAGATAAGCTTTATATTCGCTTTGCCAGGCTTATTCGTAGCTGTCTGGGCTTCACTCAGGGTTGAGTTTGCTCTCTTCTCTTTATTGGGCTTTGCCATTGTGCACTTTGTAGTGAGCTGTAATATCTAGGGCTTTTCTGAGGAGCTACTACCTTGCTGTTTGTATTAGTGCAAACCTGATGAACTGCAGAGGTCTATGGAGCCTTATTGAATTGTATTTATTGTTTTCAGACTTCTTTTTCCCCATTTGTTGAGATAATTTTGCATTCTAATCCTGTTCCCCAATACGTCTGACACTTTTGCTGGATTTCCTATGGATTCAGTAAGCGTACTCTGTCTCAATATCCAAGGTGCTTATGAAAATACTGAATAGCGCTGGATCCAGAACAAACCCATAAGACCTGCACTCACGGTAGCCTCTCTGCTCTAACAGTGAACAGCTGGTAATTCTGCTCTGACAGTGGCTTTCCAACCAGTTTCACCCATTCTGCATTAGTTTCATCTAGACTGTTATTTCTCTAGCTTGCTAATGACAAGGTCTTACCAGACCCTATCAAAAACCTTACCAAAGTCAGGATGTATCTATCTACAGCTTCTCCACACACTTAAGACTGATTACTCCATCACAGGAGAAAATTAGGTTGGTCTGACATGATGCGATCTTGACAAATCTCACTTGGGTCCGATTTATTACCTTGTTATCTTCTTGGTGCTCACAGATGAGTTGTTTGATTACTTGTTGATTACCTGTTGATTAGCTGTCTGTCTGGAAGCTGAAGCTCAGCCTTCTGAGCTATTGTCCCCCGAATCCTCCCTTTTCCCTCCTTGAAGAGAGCACGAAAATATACTGGCAGGGATAAAAACGAGAAATGTTCTTAACTGACAGTTAATTCCCAGTGCTTTTACCACTTTTTAAATTTGATGTCTGAGTAATGTGAGTAAGGTGGGCCCACAGCCTGGCCCATCCCCACAGAGGTGCCCAATGCCCGGGGTTGGAGCTGCTCTGGTGCCCCCCAGCTGTCCCGCTCCTGGCCGAAGGGTGGGACGGGCCCTGGCTGCCAGGTGCTGCCCTGACCCCGCCATGGGGAACCCTCGGCCATGCCCTGACAAAATGGCTCCGAAGGCTTGTTGCTGCTTCCAGCTTTTTGCACAGCGTTCATGGCAATATAAACCAAAACCAGCTGTTGTTTTTCCAGGGCTTGGGGAGACAGAGATAAGTAGTAAAGGGCAGACGAGTGACTGCAAAATATTTAAAGGCGCGTGATAAGCCGGGCTTTCGCTACAAATCAGTGTTGTTTTCTAGGGCAAGAGGAAAAAAGAGAAATGGAAGCTAAGCTTGACAAAACACCTAGTATGAATTAAAGGAGGAAACCGTTTCAATGTCTAGAGGTACTAAGGTAATTATTTTCCTCCTCGTACTGAAAATACAATTTCAAGACAGAGCGTGGGCAGCAGGCTGTGAAGCCAGTGGTACAGATAGCTGAGCCGCTGCCCTGACCCAGCGACGTGCCTGGCCGGTGCTACGGGGGAAGACGGCATCCCTCGCTGAGAGGCAGCAGGACAGGGCAGCACACTCGCTGCCCAGAGGGGCGGAACGCAGGGAGGGTATTTGCCAGAGCGCACCTACGCGAGTCCTGCGCCAGGGTAAATCCCTGTGCAGCAGCTCGGTTGTGCAGGGGTTGAATGAGCTTCTTTGTGTTGAAAATAGTGAGTCTTTTTTTTTTTTTCCTTATGAAAAGACATTTCCCTCATTCTTGTATGGTAAGAAAGGGAAATCTGTGCATCAGGCTGACCTTGACTGTATTAGGCATAATTTTATGGGCCTTCTTCAATTTTTTTCTCACTTCATTCATATTCTCTCCAAATTGAATAGTCCTAACCGTAATTTCCCTCCATCCTGCAGTAGCTTCCTTCCAGAGACAGGTTTGACAAAACTTGCACTCTGGCCACGGCTGCTGAGCTGTCACTGATTTTGTGTAACAGCATTCACGATGGTTTCAGTTTTCTCTGTCGCATTTGCAGTGCACTCAATTTGCTGTATTTCCCATCTCGGCGGACCGAGCATGGCGTTTCATTGAGCTGTCCACGGGGATGCTCAGATCCGTAACCTGGGTAGTCACGGTTCATTTGAAATCCATCAGTGTGCATGAGTAGTTCACTTTGTTTCTTCTAATATTCATTACGTTGCACTTTTCTATGCGGAATTTCATTTGCCACCGTCTTACCCAACTGTCTGGTTCTCTCAGGGTTGTCTGCACTGCAGGGTAGCCCTTCTCAGAGTAAGGTGCAGAGACATTTGTTCTTCTAAGTGCTCTCCTGCTTCAGGAATTTGCTGTTGTGCTGGGTCTCTTGAGTTGTTTCCCAACCCACTAAGATGGCTCAACCAAAACGCTGTGCGATATTGAGGACCAGTCCCTGGTCTCTTGCCCTCTAAAACTCCTAAAAGGAGCTTTGCAGCAGAGGAAGAAACGTGATCAAGCCTAGTTTTAGAGGATATCCAAACTGTTTTACATGGAAGGATCTCAAGTTATGGGGCTTGTCCAAGTTCTTTGGATGAGATGTGGATGTGCCAGAATCTGCCTTTTCCAGCAGTTTTAGGGAGCTCTAGCACTCCTTCGTACAAGGCTGGAGCATTTTATGGCTTCGTCATGATTTGGTCTATGAAACAGCTACCGTAGACAATTTGTTAAACTACTTTTATTGTATAAATAAAATTTTACAGTTTCTAGGTTGTTTCCAACCAAAATCTCGTCTCCGAGAGTTCAGCACAGGCTAGGACTGTGCCCGTCCTCCTTCCCAGTGGCCATAGTGAATGTCAGATGCTGGCATTGCACTCACTGACTCTGTGGCCTAGGAAAGCTAGAGGAAAATTAGGAGAAGAGAGGGTTGGTCCAGGTGTTTTAGCTCTTGCGTGAGACTGGTAACAGTCACATGCAGTTTCCAGCTTTATCATGGACCTCTGTGAGACTGGGCAAAGCTGGACAAGGTACAACAGTGAATGTGTTCTATCAACTACCTCTGTGTTTGTATGCAATAGTGATTGCTGAAGGACTGAAACTGTTCTTCCTCAAAATACTGTGTTTCAGCCACATTGGCTGAAGGCTGCTCTGAAACACCTGAAAGGGTTTTGTTTCCAAGTGCCTGCAGTCTCGCATGTTCTGCGTTCACAAATGCTAAAGGGAACTTGGCTCTGCCTGTGCTATCAGGGAAGCAACTTTCATCTCAAGCTTAGTTGGTAAAGATAGCGAGGCCTACAATTTTGCTCGGAGAAAGCAATTGTAACACCACATCTGTGAGGGATTCCTGCTTTCCTTTCCAAGCTCTTGCCTGTCCTGCCTTTCCCCATACCTGAGCCACTTCCAGATGTGTGGCGAACGGCGTGCCTTACCGTATATGTGTCTGAGCTTAAACCTGTGTCTAAACATGAGTCAGCTGCTCTGATACTTGTCTCTGCTCTAGATGACAAGGGCTCCCCAAGGAGAGAAGAACAGCCGGAAGGGTTTTGATGAAAAGGCTTACTTGTCCTCAAAGCTGCTGAAGGCCGGAGAAGACCCCTACCGCCAGCATGCTTTTAATCAGCTGGAGAGCGACAAACTCAGCAGTGATCGGCCCATTCGGGACACCAGGCACTACAGGTACCCTGCAGCCCTTCCTCCAAGCCACAGCTGCTGCTTGGTGTGGGAAGCCTGCTGCCCTCCTGTGCTGTTCTGCAATGTTGACAAAGGATGTTTTCATTTCACCAGGGCTGGTCCATTACTTCACTGTGTTTCATGGTTAATAAGAGTCATAGAATGGTTAGAGTTGGAAGGGACCTCAAAGATCATCTAGTTCCAACCCCCTTACCATGGGCAGGGAAACCCTCCACTACACCAGGTTGCCCAAAGCCTCATCCAACCTGACCTTGAACACTTCCAGGGATGGGGCATCTACAACTTCTCTGGGCAACCTGTTCCAGTGCCTCACCACCCTCTGAGTGAAAAATTTCTTCCTTATATCTAATCTAAATCTCCCCTCTTTCAGTTTAAAGCCATTGCTCCTTGTCCTATCACTACATGCCCTTGTAAAAAGTCCCTCTCCAGCTTTCCTGTAGGCCTCCTTTAAGTACTGGAAAACTGCTATAAGATCACCCTGGAGCCTTCTTCTCCAGGCTGAACAACCCCAACTCTCTCAGCCTGTCTTCATAGCAGAGGTGCTCCAGCCCCCGGATCATCTTCTTGGCCCTCCTCTGGACCCGCTCCAGCAGCTCCATGTCCTTCTTGTGCTGGGGACTCCAGAGCTGAACACAGTATTCCAGGTGGGGTCTCAGGAGAGCAGAGTAGAGGGGCAGAGTCACCTCCCTCAACCTGCTGGCCACGCTCCTTTTGATGCAGCCCAGGATACAGTTGGCTTTCTGGGCTGCCAGTGCACATTGCCAATCTGGGAAGGTCTCAAATACTCAGAGACCTCTGACTAATTTGGCCCCAACTTGTTGCGTTTTCAGCACCTCTTCTGCCAGGTCCATGCACCGTCTTGTTATTTCAGCTTTGGGGTTTCAGCACAGCCCCTCCATTGCAGTTCAAATTGCTCATCTGGCAGCTGTTTTTTGCACAAGTCCCCTCACACTCATGGCTTCTCTCAGTGACCCTCTGTCCTGGCTGCAAGGTAAGCCTTTGTTGCAGCCTCGCTTTGCTCTGGTATTCTTCACCTGCTGTGCCCTCCTGGCTGTCTGAAGCTGGTTTGGGGCTTGCTTTCCAGTCTGAATGTTACGGTTTGGATGAATGCTGCTGGGGTGGGGATGAAACTAACTAGTGAATACAGTGAATATTTCATTGCTTGCAAAGTGCTCATTGTTCTGTCCTTATTGTGCTGACTAAAGTCATCCTTAAATTGCTTATAGTGCTCAGGTGATTATTTTGTACTTTCTAGAGTACAAAAAGATAATGCTGTACCTTGAAAACTGTAGGTTTGCTAGTGATAGGGTAGTGTAAAACGGCCTACTTCAGTGGAGAAAAAACAGAAGCAAACTAACCATGTCTGAAATGCCCGTCTATCTGGGCTGGAACCTAGACCCTACCTAGGGTTGTAAAGCAACACCTCACAGCTGCTGGGAACAGGAAACCAGGCATCTGACTTGATTGAAACTGTGAAAGGGATGTCAGCAGACATGGAGCTTTGTGAGCCTGCCAGCACTGACAGCCATCAGGGTGCTTTGTGACTGTGAGCAGTTGGGACCTTCATTGTGAGATGGAACTCTTGTGCTCCTGCTCCCCAGCATAGTACTCAGGACTGGCTTCCTAGAGACTCGGAGGCAGCAGTGCCATGTCCTGTGTTAGCGACAAGTCTCACTGCCATGCAGAATTGCCATTTTCTGTTAATCTGCTTTCATGTTCTGGCCTAAAACCAGCTCACTTCAAAGGTGAATCATTGTTTATTTTGATCTGTGGTAGCATGCAGAGCATGCTTTTTGTGAAATGCCTCATCTGTGCACTTCAATCTGAAGAACAACATATATGTGATTCCCTGGAAATTGATGCCCATTTCAGCCTCAGCTTTGCAAGGGTTCTCTTCAGCAATTGGGAGTCCAAAGCAGTGTACAGTCAGAGCAGATAAACCTATTTCCATGTGCCTCTCCTTTGCAGGAGAAGCAGTTTGGGGATGAGGGAGTTGTTTTTTAATACCTTGTCTTGTAGCATTATTGGGATGGTTGCTGGGATGGCAATTTAGGATGAGGACTTATTTCAGCTGGTACAAATTAGATGTGGTTTGAGGGAAGCCCATCCTTCTGTCACATATGCACCTGGCTCTCTGTTTAAGGAATGAGGGATCAATAGGTCACTAACATGTCGCTTTTTCTTCAGGCACTCAAGCAGAGCTTGGGCATACTTGGCTCCGCATCCTACAAGCTCTCTCTGACCTAGCACGTGGCTATTTTTTTGATCCAAAGCAAAGAGATGGCCAACTTTCAAGCACAAACTTTATCCTTGTCCTATGTGATGCTGTAATAGTGTTGAGATCTTGGGAAGACTTCCCCAAATAACACATACACCAATCTCTTCTGCTTTTCCACTTCCTGATGCCTTAATGCATTTTATATGCATTATATGATGGAGTTATTTTGAAGCAATAGTAAATGTGGTATGTCTCCTGTCTGGTCTCAGGTTTTCCACTTTAGTCTTTATCAAGGCTTCTTTATATGTTTGAAAATTGCTGTAAGAAGCTGCTATTCCCTTAATAAAATATTGCAGTGAAAAAGTCATAATCCGGTAGGACTGAATGTGATGATAAAACCAGTAACAGTTTAGTAATAGCCATAAAATAATACTAAGTAAATATGGGAGTATAAGTAGCAGCTATAAGAATGGAATTGTATTCCCTCCCAGGATGGATTCAGTCTATGAATGGTGTTGAGTCGTTAAAAACACTAGGCCATAATTTCAGGTGTGGGTTCTTCATTGGGCAGGGAATTAGTGCAGACTGACTGCTGGAAGTTAAGAAGGTGGACGATCTGGAGGTGCAGATCAGCCCACATCTGCCATTCCTAATATCTGCCAGAATTGGATCCAGGATTCACATCTGTGAGTTGTTCTCCTCCAAGTATCCTTGTTCTCCACAGGGTGTGTGCGGCCCTGGTGCAAGCTGATCCTGAGTTAATTCTTGGTTCTGAGTATGAGAATGAATGTATGTACATTACATTAGAAGGTCAGATAAGAAGATGGATGGAATTGCTTTTCATTGGCACCTGAGGTATTAGTGTTGAACCTCAGCAACTCCCCAAAGCAGATCACAGTACTACATAGTGTCTTCCCTTTCTGGAAAGCCCAATGCCCAAAGAATTTGAAATGCTTCATATAGTGATGCCTGGGTGTACCAGCTCCATGCATCCTTAGCATGTATATGTCCTGTGCATGAATAAACAAGATTTTACTTGAGTCACAAGGGAATCCAGGGAGTGGAGTCCACAATGTTGAACCCTTGATCCCCATGAAACCCACATGCTCTCCTCAGCACGTAGCATCAAACGTTAGTTATCACAGCCTCAAAACTTTGCCTTTGAGCAGGCATGATTCTTTTGAAGTTCTGCCAACCTTGGTGCAGGGGCTGCTGAGGTCTCCCTTACTGCAGCTCAACTGTGCTGTTTCTGATTTTCGCGTATTATTCTCTTCTACTTTAGAAATTCTAGGTATGTTGCTGCAGTGGCTGCTGCTGGGCAATGTTTGGCTTACACTTCTGCTCTCCCATGTTGCAGGTGTACTTCTGTACGCTATGACACAGACTTGCCAGCTACCAGCCTCATCATCACCTTCCACAACGAGGCGCGCTCCACCCTGCTCCGCACGGTAAAGAGGTGAGTTCAGCGAGGGGTGCTGGGCTCACGTGATGGTGCCTAGAAGAGTACTGGTGAAGGGTTAGATGTTTTCCACCAGTTAGGCAAGTAGAGTGGCTGCAGTCCCCAAGTGCTTGTGGTCTGCGCTCGAGCTGGCCCACTAGGACAGGTCAGGGGCTTGGATTGGTGGAGTGGGCATATCTTCAAAAACAACGTAGCTGCGGTTAGCCGCTATGTAGCCCCTGTGAGGGGAATCATTAGCAACAGGGACGGGGCTGCTGGGCCTATATCCGCAGGTGGGAACAGTCTGTATGAGCCTGGTTTGGAAGAGTGAAGAGAGACCAAAGGGGATGTTGTGTGTTGCTAGATGCAAACGAGGGAAGGGGCTTGGGAGGGACTGTCTTCCATAAACGGGAATAAGCAGCCAGCCCCCTGCTAGGGCATGAGTTACAGGAGCTGGGGCTGTCTCAGTGAGGGCAGGGGGCACGGCTCACAAGTCTTTCGAACAGAAGGTGGTCAACTCAAAGTCTCATAGAGACCGAGCCCCTGCAATCTGAGCAGGTGCTCAGAGTCACTTGCTGGTAAACAGTTGCTGAACCTGAGGGCCCTGGGGTTTTG